ATAGAATGTGATATGTGTGATGTTGCAACAAACCCAGATGCTAATATTTTTTCAGAGGGATCAAAATGAGGTGCTCTCCAAACCAATCTCCTCCCACATCTCCATTGATACTGACTGTGATCTTGACGTTTCTAGGTAATGGTCCTCACACTGTTTAACATAAGCATTAGCAACATATTTTGCTGTCTGCCAGCATAACACTTTGTCTGTCTTAAAAGGAAGGCAGATACAAAAAGAGAATCCACGTCTAAGCAGCCCCCTACAATGGTACAACTCAAACAAATATAATATGAATCAGTGGAAATGTGTATTAAGTACAATACCCCATTAGTTACAGAAACATTTCTGCTGTGTTATGTAGATCATGAGAAACAAGAACTACTCTGCAAAATCTTCAAAGCCAAACAAGCCAGGATCGGGAAATAGAAAGAATCCCCAGTAAGTGTATTCTCAAAACTTGTATTCAAAGAAATGTGTACATAAAATAATAATAATAATAAACTAATTTGTGACCCTGGGCCACAAAACCAGTCTTAAGTCATTGGGGTATATTTGTAGCAATAGCCAAAAAAACATTGTATGGGTCAAAATTATCGATTTTTCTTTTATGCCAAAAATCATTAGGATATTAAGTAAAGATCATGTTCCATGAAGATATTTTGTAAATTTCCTACCGTAAATATATGAAAACTTAATTTTTGATTAGTAATAAGCATTGCTAAGAACTTCATTTGGACAACTTTAAAGGCGATTTTCTCAGTATTTTGATTTTTTTGCACCCTCAGATTCCAGATATTCAAATAGTTGTATCTCGGCCAAATATTGTCCTACCCTAACAAACCATACATCAATGGAAAACTTATTAATTCAACTTTCAGATGATGTATAAATCTCAATTTCTAAAAATTGACACAAGACTGGTTTTGTGGTCTAGGGTCACATTTATGTAAGGTGTGATCAAATCTAATGAATTTTGGCCTTTATTTGTTATGTTTATATATTTGCGATGAAGATGTTTGGGTAGCATCAACAGTTTCTTCCAATTATAGAAAAGCACCACAGACTGTGGTCGATGACGTTGCTATTCCTGAAGACTTTGGGGATTTCTCACTTGCTAAAACAATCAGCATAATTGAGGGCAAAGTTAGTGATGATCTCACTGAGGAACACTTGCAGGATGACATCATGCCCAGTGCTGGAGATGAGATGGGTGCAGGTGGGTTAAAAAGGACAAATACATTGAAAAATTGAATCTGCTGCGCTGGTATACTATTTGCATTATTGCTTATACATTTATTTTGTATAATTACAGAAGCTCAAATCAGATTTTTGAAGGCTAAACTTCGAGTAATGCAGGAAGAATTGAACAGACTCGCATATGAATGCAACAAGAAGGTAAGAAGTTTGAGATGTGTTCAAGGTTAGTTAATCTATTCAGTCAGTTCAAGTCACTCTTGCTCAAAATGTCTTTTGCGTGTCTTGAAGGATGATGAAAACAGTACTTTAAGCAGTAAACTGAAGGACTTGGAAGAGGAAAAGGCAAGATTGCAGAGGACTACAAATGTCCAACAGACTCAAGTTGAGAAGCAAAGAGCTTTAGCTGAAGAATCAAGTCGGAAATGTGAAGGTCTGCAACAGCAAGTGGCAGCACTGCAAAAGGTACTTAAACTGTTGGCAAAATGTTATTCAAAGTTTGTCTCACAATCCACTGAAAAAAGTGACCTTATGACAGGACAAGTGTTACTGATCTGAACAAAAAATGTTCCTTTGATCATAAACCTCTACTCATTTCCTACAGGAAATGCATAGTGTATATTTATACCATAATTCCTGTTAATTAGAGCTGTGCCAGGATCCAGAGCCGTGGAATTCTTGGCATGGGCCCTTTAACCTGATTAGTCCTCTGTGTGTAAAGTGAGACTACGCTACAGCTGCTCAGAGACCAGAGCACACTGCACTTGGGCTTCTGGGACAGATATCTTTGGAACTCTCCCTTCCCCTTATGATAGGGACATGGAAACTGAATAAGGATAGAGAACAACAGTAGTATCAGATAAAAAAATCATATCAGAATGGGATATTTGTGGAAAAAAAATATTCACGGTCATCTCACTTTAGACTTATTAAAAGTATCTCATGTTTGGGTAGTTTTAGGTTAAAAGCATTTATTGCTGCTTTAAAGATTCAACTTTTTGAACAAACAGCAAAATATTGAATTGGAACATCTGCATCTGAAAACACAATCTGCATAATATGTTTTTTCCTGTCTATACACTCTAGGAGTTGGAAAGCATGAAGAGGACCCACAAGCAGGCAGCCAGTACCCACAGTGCAACAGAGGTGCGGTTGAATAGAGCTCTGGAGGAGGTTGAGAGGACTAAAACACAACTCAACAAACTCAAACAGAGCAGTAAGGTAAAGTCATCTCAAATAAACCAGCATGAAATAAACCAAGCGAAGTTTTTTTGTGCAATAAAACTTTTTGCACACTCCAGAATTGTTTCAGATTTAGATTTAACTTTTTTTGTTCATTTCACGTTTCTCTTCTGTTTTTGTATCCGACCTAAGGATTTAACCAGTCAGGAGCAACAAAAGATTGAAACATTACAAGCCGAGAACAGAAAACTGGAACGACAAAAGGCTGAGCTCATTGTGGGTTTTAAAAAGCAACTTAAGCTAATAGATATTTTAAAGCGACAGAAGGTAAGAAATCAGTTTCTTCACAATTACTTGAATCTGTCATTTCCAATTACAGTAATATGATGCCTCACTAATTGCACTTTTGAAAAACATTTTATGTTTATGGCTTTATTTTAAAAGATGCATTTTGAAGCGGCCAAGCTGTTGTCCTTCACTGAAGCGGAGTTCATGAAAGCTCTGGATTGGGGAAAGGATGGAGTCTCATAGGTTTCAGTTTTGTATTTTGTAAATAGAGTAAAAAAAGATGAATGTGTACAACAAACAGCTTACATTTCATTCATTGTTTAACTATCTTCAAACTTCATTAAATAACATTCTGAATATCATGACAGACTAAGTGTTTATCAACACTGCCACATTTATTCAGATTACTTCATGATTGCCATCTAGTGGTGAACACTTGAATCAAGCTGTATATCAAAATATGTGGTCTTTATTGTAATTTAATCAGCTGTTATTTTATATAAAATGTATACACAGAACAAAAATATCTCATTCTTGCTAGTAAAATAATTGCAATATTCAGGGTAAGGGGCCAACCGGCTCTTCTTTACTAGTAGTCAACTGTAGGAAGTGTGACCATTCTGGTGAACTCCTCATAGTAAACAAGTCCATCACGTCCAACATTAGCCTCTTTAAAAAGCTCATCCACTGAAAAATAATTCACAGTTAAATAACACTTAAACAACTTTTTTTTTTTTTTTACATTTAATTTGATTAGCTTTGATGAAAACAATGTAAACTGAGAAGATAAATGATTTATGCCTTCTTTATCAGTGAGCTTTTCTCCCAAGCCTGTGAGTTTGGCCCGTAGCTCAGAGGCCAGAATGCAGCCCTTCTTGTGTTTATCCGTCATGCGCATAGCCTCCAGAATTTCAGTCTTAGGATCTTCCTGCTGCATCTGTCTGTGCATCATGGTTAGAAATGTAGAAAAATCCAACTCCCCTGTCTTATCTGTGGTGAGGATACAGTAAAAGATTTATGAACTCCTAACATTAAAGAAAGCAAAGAATTCAAGATTTACTACTGAGCATTTTTCTTCAGATTATGACTGATACCAGTGCCTCAACACGCTCTTACACTGTCCATAAAAATCAAATCAAATACCATTACTATATGAAGTTTTTTTTTTCCCCCATCAGGTTTTCATCAGCATAATGAGACCACTAGTCCAATTGTATATCGCTGTTAGCCACAGGTGACACAAGGAAGCTATGGAGCATCAGACAAGGAAGACACATTCACATTAAATGTAATGTGTTAATCAAGAGATTGTTACCTATTTTGTGGATTTGCAGATGTCGGTCCACTTCATTATATGTGGGACTTGTACCCAGACAGCGCATGACTGTAATAAGGTCTTTGGCTTCAATCTTCCCCTTTCGCTTCTTGTCATAAAGCGAGAAACATTCTTTGAACTCTGCATGAGAACAAGGAAACTACAGTATAAGCCAATGCCACAAATTTTCTGTCATTTATTTTTTTTAAAAGAACAATTATTTTGTTTTACTATATTCATGGATCGTAAAGCACACACACACACACACACACACACACACACACACACATTACTTCTGTGTATCACGGCTTACCATCAATCTGAGTTTGTGATAAGAATTTTGCCTGAAAAGAGTTTAAAAAAAACAGCTTAGTTGAAAAAATGTACCGTGAATCAATGAAAAATACAATTTAGAATAGAAAAAGAAAATCAAACTCACCATGTCTACACGCGTTTCGGCTGGTCAGGGAAAGAGTCACTCCCTCTGGATTACCTGTAGGAACTAAAGTCCACTGCAGTGTTGATGGAATTGATAGCCTCGTTGTCATAGGAACATTGATATAGGATTCCAACTGTCACATTATACTGTCTGCTACAGTAGGTGCAGCTCATGACCACACTCAGTGACTCATAACATATATAGGGAGTACAAACTTTATTCGGATAAAACAAGGACATAAAAGCAACATTTTTACTGTAAGCCACAATAAATAAATGACTTTATTATTCAGTACACCAAAATTACAAACATGTCATTGAATAGTTTGCCTTGTGAAGATTCAAACCTAGGCTAGATCCAACTCCTTAAAGGGATAGTTCACCCAAAAATGAAAACTGTCTCATACTCAACAAATTTACTCATACTCAAGTTGCTCCAAACCTGATGTTTTCTTCTGTTGAACACAAAAGAAGGCATTTTGAGAATGTTGGTAACCAGTATGGCTACTGTCAACTGTTTGGTTACCAACATTCCTCAAAACATCTTCTTTTGTGGTCAACAAGAAACTCATACAGGTTTGGAATACCTTGAGGGTTTTGAAATGACAGAATTTTCATTTTTGGATGAACAATCCATTTAAGTAACACTGGAACTTAAGTAAATCTTCTCAGTTTCACTCAAAGTGCCATTAAACTTGGTCAAAGCATTATACTGCAGAAATGTCAATGAAGTTTAGTTCAGATTTGCTGTTAGTATTTAACTGCCTTTGATGTGTAAGGTATAGAAGGACCAAGGCTCTGGGACATAGATGATACCGGGATACTTTTTGCGCAAAACGTTATCATTCCACAGATATGCGACCCATACCAGAACTAATCCCAGAGTAATGATGAAGTTATAGAAAAGGAAACGGCCATTGCTGTCTAACACAAAGCCCATCCACCTCTGGCACATCACAGTGGCAACCATGGCAAAAAAGGTGAAGACATACAGGACAAAGATCTGCCCCTCAGTAATCAGATACCTGCAGAAAATAAAACACATTCATGTTTCATTAAATATCCTGTTTCACTTGAAATTACTTAAAGGGGTCATATGACGTTGCTAAAAAGAACATTATTTTGTGTATTTGGTGTAATGAAATGTGTTTATGCGGTTTAAGGTTCAAAAAACACATTATTTTCCACATACTGTACATTATTGTTTCTCCTCTATGCCCCGCCTTTCTGAAACGCATCGATTTTTACAAAGCTCATCGGTCTGAAAAGCGAGGTGTGCTCTGATTGGCCAGCTATCCAGTGCGTTGTGATTGGCCAAATACCTCAAGCGTGTGACGGAAATGTTACGCCCCTCACCATACTGTTGATGCCGTGTCCGGCCGGAGCGACGAGACAAAAACATTAAAACCCATTATAAACGAGGCATTTGTTGCATCCCGTGGGGACATAATTACGGATTATAATGACTTATACCGTCTTTTTACGTGTTGCGTTGCATCGCGCCGCGTAAACATAAAACTATGTCTGCATTTGTGATCGGAGAAATGACAAACAAGTGCTACTCTACACTGCTCAAAACTCGCGTTTGAATCGTCAGTGGCAAATTCTTTAAATATAAAAAAAAAAAAAACTTACTTAGAGTCTGTGAGTCAGAACAGCTGGCATTGTAGTCTACTCGCCCAGGATCAGGAAACAGTCCTCCTTTAGGTAGGCGTGATTGACTCTTAACTTTTATAAAAAATATCTCTTTGGATTTGAGACTTTAGTCTTTGCAACTTTACAGATCTTCTTTATGCACCAAGAGCTGGTAACACGCCAAAGAGAAAGGAAAAATTTAAATCGCATCATATGACCCCTTTAACAGAAGTAAAATGGTTGTTTCAATTTGAATTAATAATTCACTTACCAATAGTACACAGCACTGGGGCCAAGTAGCAGCCAGCCTGAGTAAGGCATCTTCTCATCTTTAACTTGTGTAAAGCAGCCAGTGAAATATAAGAAGAGGATAAGAAAGAAAGGGACATACCTATAATGTTAACAGAGTGGGGTGTTTTACACACATAAATTGTAATGTAAACTTGTAACTTATAGCACAATTACAGATGAAATATGAGTATGGAAAGTATACTTACCACATGGAATGCCCCAAGTGCTCATCATAGTAATACAGAAGCTCAAAGGAATCAATCTGGAAACCACATAAAGGATATGTTACCATTATCATGAAAAAAAAAAAACTTTTCCAAAAGAGCAAATAATTTGGTTGATCTGTACATTTATCTACTGTACCAGTGAGGCAGGCTTCAGATCTTTGATAATGGGGTTTTCTCTGACAGAAAGGTGAAGCTGGTATCCACTGAGGATGAGACGATGGTTAATAGAGTCTCCTACCAGGTGTATGCTAGCTCCCATGACAAAGGTGATGATGCAGAGGTAAACTGCTGAGCGAGGAAGGGCTGTGGGACTCCGCTCAATCAGCTACAAAATGTTAAAGACAGTCATGTTTAGTTTAAAACAACACTTTCCTAATGGAGCATGCTGCACAACTTCTTGTCCAGGCCCTTGTCATTTCTAGGCTAGACTACTGCAATGCTCTTCTGGCTGGACTTCCGTCATGTGCAATGAAACCTATTACAAATGATTCAGAACGCAGAAGTTAGACTGGTCTTCAACAAGCCCAAAGGGGCCAAGTCACACCTCTCTTTAGATCCAGAAGACCAGATCTTCAACAGATCACTGGAGCTGTGCGAAGTCCCTTCACGAATCATTGGTACAACCCTCCCTTCTCTCCAAGAACTGTACTTATCCAGAGTGAGCAAAAGGGCTGGCAGAATCACTCTGGACCCCTCACATCCAGCACACTCCCTCTTTGAACTGTTGCCATCTGGTCGACGCTACAGAGCACTGAGCACCAGAACGACCAGACACAGGAACAGTTTCTTCCCTCAGGCCATCCATCTCATGAACACTTAACAATAACTGTGGAACACACACTATTTATTCACTCATACACTTATTTATCTAACACTCATACTCAGTCTACACCTCAAATTTGCACATAATATACAGTACCTGTACATACAAAAACTGTATACATATATAGATATATACACATACATACCTTCTCCTTCCCCCCTATATATCTCCATCAAATTCTTTCACTTATCCCAGTATTTTTCAAATAATTCATTAGGAGACTATGTATTTCCCTAGACATTGTTTTTCCTAGCAGATTTCCCACTGTCATGTTTTGTTTTCCAACTTGTGTTTCTAACGCCCTTCTTTCCTCATACCTTTTACAATCTAATAAAATATGTTTTACTGTCTCTTGTGTGTTGCAGTGGTTGCAAAGACCAGTGGGGTGTTTTCCTATTCTCTGTAATGTAAAGTTCAAACCAGCATGACCTATTCTAAGACGTGTAATTATCTTTCCTTCCTTTGGATTCCTGCTCTGCCTAATACTATTGAAGCCTACTTGTTTTTGTATGTTATACAGGTGTCGTCCAGTATCAGTTATGTCCCAGTATTATTGCCATATTTTGCTTGTATGTCCCTTAATGATGGTTTTGATTTCTGTTCTACATAACGGTGTTTGTATATCAACTGTTTCATGCTTTATTGCTCCTCTTGCCAGAATATCTACAATCTCATTTCCTTCCACCCCTATATGAGCAGGAACCCAAAGGAAGGAAACATCCCTTTATCACTTTAATGGAAAAGGTGCAGTCAAAGTGGAAGAGAGGGGGTAGGCCTAAGCAGAAATGCCTCAGGGGGTACTCCACTCTAAAAAGACTGGGAACCACTGATGTAGAATATTCTGTCCTGTGCAACAAGTGATTTATTTTATATTTTCAGGTAACGTTACAGCGGTTAGTTTGAAATAAAAGTTTGTTTAACAGTGGAAATTGAGTCTCACATTATTTAAACATTATTCAAAACATTAATGGTGAACATTTCCGACTTTATAAAATGATTCTCTCAAGTCTTTCCCCTATTAAACAATAAAGAAAGTAAGACATCTTTTTCTTATACATAGTTTAGTAGCCTACTATTCTTTTTGGCAGAATTGATCATTAATCAACTTAATTATTTCCTGGATTTTGTAACACCATAGTTCCTAAATGTATGTACATGCAGTAAATGGGATTCAAATCGAAAACATTTCCCCCCATTTTGTGTCCCCCCACTTCTCAAACCAAAGTTACTCCCTTGGTTATTAGACATATTTATAGCGATTATCCCGTCAAATATATCATTCAAATGCATCACTAAGGCACTTTTATTTTGAAGGCAGAAGACAATGACAGTCCTGTGATTGTATGTAGCCATCTTAGAGCGCTCTCTCTCCACGGCCTACCTAGGCGTTTCTCTCTTCACATCGCCAGTGTAAAGCTCACCGTGCTGGGTTAAAGATCTTGTCATCTTCAGCAAAGCGAGGTATCACTAGAAAATTAGCGTTATTTTCATTTGATCACGTGATGTCACGAGAGCGTTGTTTACGCAGTACTGGGGTCTGTGTAATAAGGTGTATATGTTAGCTCATGTAACTTAGCTGTCATGATGGGAGACATGTCTGTCAGTGCTAGGTGCTTAATATAACACTTGCAAACACCCTGGCTCAAACGACATCTGTCGAACTCACTTAACGTAAAGTTGTCCGATTTAATCTCTCAGTGTTTAAATGGTAGTTGCAGGGGTTGTTTTTTGTTTATTTTGTTACAACAGTGTTGTTTTAAGGAACCCAGGCTAACAGGGTGTTTTGGCTAACTGATCACCACTAACACTACTTTTCAGTACAGTTTTATGAGTCGTAATCTGCCTGGTTGATCATGTCCTATTTTATTAGAGGCTAATTCTAGAGTTACAGTATTTGGGGTGAAGTGCAGGCTAATTTACTCGGGAGTCCTTCACAGAAATGCGTGTGATAGAGTAGTCACAGAGTTATAGTGAGCTGTTCATACAACCGTTCCGGTCCTCTAATTTGACAGATCGAGTGACCTAACAAATCTACTGATAGTTATTAGGATGACAGCAGTGTCACTGTTTTTAGTAGATCTGTTTTCACTCGAGAATTGAAACGTAGTTGCGTGACTCCTGCCTCCAGCGACGAGCAGAAGAGCGTCGGTGTTTCCAGCAGCTCTCTGAGCAGGGAGCGGGAAATGATATTAAGAATAATAATTGAACCATTTAAAGAAAGACTAATCCTCTCCAAACACAGATTAAGTAACCATGATTTGGAAACACAGAGAGGAAGACATAGACACACATGGACAGAGCAAGAGCAGAGGATCTGTAGACACTGTGATCTACAGCAAATAGAGGAGGAGAAACACTTTCTGCTGATTTGTCCTAAATATCACAACGTGAGGGAAACATTTCTCCCCAAATTTGAAATGATACTGAGAATATTACCCTTCATACTTGGAGATGACAACACAGCTGCACTAGCTGCAAAACTTGTGTTAGCCATTCACAATGTTAGGTGTTAAACACAGTTAAATCTAAACTGACTCACTTTTTCTTTTCATCTATTTAGATAGATTTTATTTATTATCTATGGTTTTTTTTTTGTATTGTTTCTTTCTATTTATTATTTATATATATGTGTTAATGCTTTGGCAACATTGTGTTACACTGTCATGCTAATAAAGCTTAATTAAATTGAATTGAAATGGAAAACATGGAGTGGCGATGAGATTGCTGAACGCTTTGAGAGGAATTCCAGTCGCTTCGCTTCATATGTTATTCCAGGCTGGGTTTCAGCCTGTGCGTTGGTTGGTGACACTAATTACGTTGATGCATGATTTTTAGAAATAATGTAAAAACAGTGTATGAAGTATGCCAGAACTATGACGTATGCCAGACTTATCCAATCATTTAGTCTGTTTAAATCCATCCTTGCAAGCTTGTGTTCAACTGCCTCCATTGGTCTCTGCAGGACAGTAATGGGAGTTACCAGACCGGTGGGTGGGGCCATAATGGAGGGGCGTTTGGAGGGGGTGTTTGGTGTTACCTGATTTGCTCACTGCAGAGCCAAATGACATCCAGCTCTCCCTCTCTGGACGTAATGGGTTGAGCTTGACGTAGTAGGGTAAGTTTAGGGTTAGGATTAGGGTGGGGTAGGATGTGGTTGGGCCAAGGGGTAGCTGGATTTCGAACTTAACTCATTGGCTCTGTAGTGAGCAGCTTCTCAGTTTGCTCACATCACAGTGATGGTTGTGTTTAGGGGAGGGGTGAAGGGGCATCATTTTCATTGCATGATTCATTAACACCCACCTGTTTGAAAACACCCAGAAATTTAGAAAGGCCCACTTTTGTTCTGCAGACACCACATATTTCCATTTTTTAGTGCAATGTTTGCATCTCAAAATCCAGCCAGCAACCTTTGGATAGAGCCAATTCTCCACCCTTCATTTTTTTTTTCCGATAATCCTTTACATTTAGATGTACATCACAATGCAGAGGAAAAGATCTGCCATTATCTCAATTTTATCAGCACGTCTACGATTACACACAACCTAATATACTGTACCCTATACCTTTAAAGGGGTCATATGATGCGATTTCAATTTTGTGTTCATATCGATATCGGAATTATATCGTATCGACCGAAATTAAGAAATATACCGTGATATAAATTTTGGCCATATCGTCCAGCCCTATGTACAGTATGTGGAAAATAATGTGTTTTTTGAACCTTAAACCACATAAACATTTCATTACACCAAATACACAAAATAATGTTATTTTTAGCAGCATCATATGGCCCCTTTAACATGTCACGCTGTAAAAGGCACATTAGCAGCAATGAGTGCTTAAATGTGAGTCATTTTCAACTAGGGCTATGCGATTAATTGCATGCGATTGTCATGCGCATCTCGTCAGTAAAGTCGGTTCTGTGATTAGTAGTAGGCCTAAATCTCCATCACCTGCTTTCAGATGGAGCGGCATTTACTACACAGAGCCGTAGTTCACTGACAATTAGGCAATATCGCGCTCATTATCACAGATAGAATCGCCTGCGATAATGAACACGATATTGCCTAATTGTCAGTGAACTACGGCTCTGTGTAGTAAATGCCGCTCCATCTGAAAGCAGGTGATGGAGATTTACTACTAATCACAGAACCGGCTTTACTGACGAGATGTGCATGACAATCGCATGCGATTAATTGCACAGCCCTGTTTTCAACTATGAGACATTATTTATTCAAGACCTCTTTGTGAGGAATAGTTATTTTAATGCAGGAGTTGGTGTGTGCAGTCATTGCCGTCTGAATGTTTGTGAAAGAGCAGTTTTTAGCTCTGTTATTTGTGTCTGACAAGTTGTTTATTTACAGTCGTGGAGAAAGTCATGCCTTAAAAGACGATACCACAAGTGCGACACCCTGTTCATATATTCATATATAATTTACCTCTCACTCACCATTTTATACTGTTCATGAAATGGTGGGTGAATTTTGTGGCCATTTTCTGTAAAAGACCTCTTTTTAGTTTGGTGATAGACATAGTCTGTTTCAGGGTGGAAACCAGCCCATGCATCTGCTCTATATGTCGCTGTGCTTTTTTGTACCTATCAACAGCAAAAGTAGTTCCATGTTGAGGGTGTAAGCCAACAGTACTTTAGACTAAATCGTATGTTGTCGCCTTGCATTATGAATCTGCGTTCTATGTATAGTAAGGATTTCTTCCTCTTAATTCTCATGACAAATTTAGAGGAAGCTTGTACAGAATTGGAAAACACCACTTCCTAAAACAAGCTGAGTCTTAACTTTAACCTATTTCTGGGTTTGAATCTTTCAGGCAGCACTTTGCGATAAACACATTGCAAATGAACACAAGCGAATTAACTAGGCTGTTTCTTCTGAAATTAAGTATATTCTTGTTTTAATTGTTCATTGTCACTTTCCGGCTATCATATCTGCCAGCAGATGTGCTGACTCTTGATCTGGCAGATGTAGAGCATACTGGTTTACAGGACAAAGGTAACAGCCCACTGATAAGTGCAGAACATTGGACACTGAAAGAAGCCTTCCATTGGTTTACTTCAGGTCACGTTCAATGCGATTTTAATGAGTGTTTAATTCAAATATGATCTATACAATTCATTGAACCCTTGAACAAAGGGGAATTCAGACAATGACAGGATTCTTTCTCCTTTTTACAACTGAACCATTGTCATTTCTTACAGCTGATATAATGTGTGCTGATTGTCATGCTATTTATGAACAAAATCGGTTTCTTTAGAATCCTGCAAAGTATATTTTACTTTACAGCTTGTATATTAGAAATGGCTGTTTCTTATTGTTTATTATCTGGGGCTGCTAAGAGTTTCTGACTTGTTGTGGTTTTATAGTTGCTATTTCAATTTTATTTGTTTTATTTCCTAAGTTTTGTACTGCTGGTGACATAACCTGGACTTTGAGCAGTTTCTGGCATGGTTGTAACCGTGGGATGACGCATGTCGGGGTCGTCTCCTGGTTGACATTATTCTGACTGTTAAAGCACAAACTTTTTATGATGTCTAGTGTGGTACTCCCATTACTGCTTATTTTTAATTCAGTAAATGCATTAATAATATCCAGGTTTTACAGGATGTCATCATTTGAGTGGTGCCTATTTTTTTATTGTACAAAGTGTTTCCACGGAGATGTTTTTTGTGCATCTTTTCAATGACTCCATATCTTTCTAAATTCCAAGATGTGTAAAAGATGTGCTTTGGGAGACACACTTACGAGAGCTCAGTCCTCTGTAGGGATTTCACAGCCATTTGAACGACTGCTAGTAACCTCTCATGTGCCTTCTTTTTTTCTCCCTCCTTTTTTCTCCTCTCCCTCTCTTACTCACTCACCCACCTTCTCTTCTGTCATTCTTTCCAGTTGCTTGTTTTCTCACTTGCTTTCTTGTTTTTATAAAGTCCTTTGGAACACCTCAGCGTTGGAGCTGTACAACCTCCAAACAGAAGTCAGATTCTTGTTTTTTCTCTCTTTGTTTTGCTGTCAGTCAGAAAGCTGCAACACAGAAGAGTCTATTATAGGAGAGAAGTTTTCCTCCGATGGCATCCAGACTATTGGAGAGGATAAACATGATGTGCTGCTAGTGACGCAGAGAACAACATGGGCAGACACTAACAAATCGTCACGCTAGGGGTAAGTGGAGCTCTCACTCACAATAACTGACAGGCTACGTCCACACGAATCCAGAGCTTTCCCTATCCGATCTTTTTTTTTTCCCTCGTCTCAAGAAATATCTGCGTCCACACGAAACCACAAAACCGACACAAAACGATGTAGTATACATGCCAGACCAGCATGTGGCGCTGTAATTCTGCCACAGAGATACACTAAAAATGGAGAAGAAGACTTGGACTATGCGCATAAACCTTGCGCGCGGTATACAAACGAACATGGAACAATACATTTATTAATCTGTGTTAATGTTAGTTAATAAAAAGACAATCGTTCAGTGTTTGTTCATGTTTTTGTTGCTGTTACGTGACGTATCGGTGTCTGACTAGGGGCGTGACATGGGCTGATGACGTCATCGTTTCAGAAAATATACGGATTCGCTGTCCACATGAAAACGCAAGTGCCGCGTTTTCAGATTTATCCACTCTGGGACCCGGTTTAAAAAAATATCGGTTTCACTCTCCCAAAACACCGGATTCCGTGTGGACGAAACGCCTATACGATACAAAAGTTATGCGTATACAGCTAAACGCTTCTCTGTGTGGACGGGGCCTTATTCTGCTGCTTCAACTCACTCTATATCAGGGGTGTCCAATCCTGTTCCTGGAGGGCCAACGTCCTGCCGAGTTTAGCTCCAACACACTTGCCTGGAAGTTTCTACTAGTTAGTCTGAAGACCTTGATTAGCTGGTTCAGGTGTGTTTAATTAGGGTTGGAGTTAAACTCTGCAGGACAGTGGCCCTTCAGGAACAGATCTGGGCACCTGTTCTGTAAATAGCAATGCATTTTAGGTGTTTTTATTGTATGCAGAAAGGATTTAACTTTTTTGTTCAGTTTAATCCACGTTCTATGTCCATAGTTAGATGCTTATCTTTCAGATGTTAGGGTGTGTAAACCTGCTGTGTAACAGCCTAATTCATATTTTGTAACTGATCTTTTTGATATATCAGCATTAAGATATGCAGATATTGAAATTCTGGCATGCAACAATTAAGCTGATAATATTTTTTTATGTTATGACCAATAATATAAATCTATATAACTTTTACTACTCTTTAAAGAAAGAAAATAATTAGAAACTAACTAAATAGTTAAAAACTAAACTAAATAGTTATGCTTTAACTGAAGTTAGGTATTCTGTTTGAATTAGAAAATAAGTACAGTTATTTTAATGAATAGTTGGGTATTTAATCAAAATTTGTTTGTGTTTGGTCTGAAAAAAGTTTACTGTGCATTTTAAAGTAAGTAGTGAATACTAGTGAATTTCTTCATATCTTCATCAATATAATTTTTTTAGGAGGAGCTGGAATACATTTGGCCTGTCAGTTAAGGACATTGATATTAAAAGAAGTTACCCTTAGAAGTCTTTTTTTGTTGTTGTTGTTTTTTGGTTTTCTTAAGTAGTATTTTATTTTTGTGAGTCATGTTTTTTTTGCTTATAGCTGATAAGGTCAAATTGTAGAATTGAAACAGCATATTTTGCTGTATTTTTAAGGCGTGGTCACATTTACCCTTGCATGGCAAAATTTCCCAGGCAAAGAAGGCAGGACCTGTGGTTGTGGACTGCCCACACAGAGGTCACTGGCAGACAAAGTAACTTGCTGTTTGGTCAGAGCTGTGATTTTACATGTCAAAAACTTGAACTAATGTGAAATTCACTTAGTGGAATTTAACAACCATTGGAAGTCTATTAGGAAAATGACATTACATTACCAAATTATTTTGCCCATTGACTTTTGTCACACCACGGTTAGTGTGATTGAACCTTTTTCCAAAATACCGTCCCCAAATCAGATATCCCTCTCTGTTTTTAAAACGTTCTTAAAACTCTCAAAGCAACACCCATGAATGACCAGTCTTGACCAATTTTTTTTTGCACTTTCAATTCCTATTCTCAAGTAGGTAGTTCGTACAGCATGCTTAGTTGGCAAAAACATACATTCACTTTGATGAATATTTCTCAATTGTGTATATATATTTTTTTGCTGTGCACAGTTTAGCTTAAGAAAAATTCCCATGATGTGAAAGGGTGACTGTGTAGTTTTTGTGAGCTTTGCATACAGAAGTGTGACTACTTAAGGAACTGTACTGGCAGTCATCAGTGAAGATCAGCATTGCGTGCATTCAGGCAGTGAGAGTGGCAGAACACTGCTGCCAATATTACGTGTGCTGACTTTGTATGTGTCAGGTGTGTCATTGCATTCTGAACACGCTGTGCTGCTTGCTGTTCTACTTTGTAGATGGTTTTGATTCAATATTGAAATTTATATATTTAAAGATGGTATCAGTTTGAGGCGGTTTTGGTGACTTAACATTATAAACGGAATCAGGCAGTCTTTTAAGACTTCAGCTTTGGCTTTTATTGTTCTCTGCAGGTGCAGTCTTGGTTCGTTATGACAAGTGGCTGTGTGGAAGATGTCCACCCTTTCTACGACTGATATCACTGATGTTGGTCATGGTAAGACTCTCGTTTTTCTTGTACTAGAATGTGAAATGTTCACATACAGAGACTGGATAAAAATCAGAAGTTGCCAGAACACATTTGATCACTTTAGTCACACGTATAAATATATGAATGTCATTGCATTTGATAATAAAATATCAAACCAAGTGGCTTTTTATTCCTAAGAAAAATAACACAAGCTTTACTTTACAACATATTTAAAGGGGTCATATGATGCTAAAGATCATTATTTTGTGTATTTGGTGTAACAGAATATGTTGACTTTATAAAGAATATCTCTTTGGATTTGCAACTTTACAGATCTTCTTTATGCACCAAGAGCTTGTAACTCTCCAAAGAGAAAGGAAAACTTGAAATCGCATCATATGACCCCTTTAATGAAAGGTTTTGTGAACTTGAGGAACTGATTTCATATACCAACTAGAATCACCTTGACACCAGTTATTTAAAAGTAATTGCAGTCGGAAAAGTGTTATTAGTTATTGAGAGGTAATGTTTCAATTTATTGCCTAAATAACAAAATATCAAAACTGATAGAAATTATTAGATAGAATATTAGTGTTGCTTAAAGGGATAGTTTGGTCAGTTCTATCATTTTCTCACCCTCAGGTTGTTCCAAACCTGTATGACTTTGTTTATTCTGTGAAACTAAAATAAGTATTTATTTATTATTTTGAATACAAAGGAACCCAATGGTAACCAAAACAATTTGGTTACCAATATTCTTCAGAAAAGATGTACAGATTTAGAATGACATAAGGGTGAGAGAATGACAAAATTTTCATTTTGGTGTCCAAACTGGGAGTTTACAGTTGGATTTATATAGTTAAATTAAAGTATAAATTTAGCATGATTAATAAAGCTACCATTTGTGTAAAGGTATGTTTTATATAAAGATGTGGTTAAAAACATATAAACCATTTTTAGGGTGTTTTGATGTTTGTAAAAAAAAAAAAATTACAAATTCATAAATAAAAATGTGGGTCATGTGTTATATTTATGCATGTTGTTGTTTGTGTGATTTGTAATAATCATCCATTAGAACCAGAGATGTAGCAAAACGTCTATTCAAGGTTTTCAAGATATTTGGTACCTTGTGTCAATGACTAGTCCTAAGGATTCTCTGTTTAAAATAATAATAATAATAAACATGCAAAGCACAACATGGGACATGACCCATGGCACGTGTATGCAACACTATATTTAAAAGTATCTACAAAAAAATCTAGTGGTCCTTTCTAAATTACTAGTTGGTTGTTTTGAATGCCTTGTTAGTAATCTGACCCAGCTGTAATAGAACTGTATGTTGTTGGTATGTGTGTACAGGGAACTCTCTGTGCTGTGCCAGCGAAGAGGGCCCTTCAGCAGCGACAGCAGAAGTGAAACAGGAGACTCTCAGTCAGACGGCCTCATTTGGGACCTCACACAATGAGCTGAACGACACGCTGCTCATGGAGCCCAGCGACATCAAGATGTACCCCACAGAGGACACACCTGCACGAGGTGAGACTGATTGACTGGAGGATACTTCTGAACTTGCTTATAATGCAAAAGGATTCAGATAATGCAGAATTGAACTTTACCTATTACATAACGTGTGACACGTGACTTTTACTCATGTATGAACATGCGTGTCAGTTTGACTGTGAATATGTGTGGATGAACTGGCCTAACTGGTTAAGTGAACACAAATGCACTCATTCATAAGGTTGTCGGGTATTAACTCATGATTTATTTGTATATGAAGCTTTGGATTTGGAAGTGTTTCTGTCCTGTGTGTTTGTGCAGAGGGTCAGCCAGTCAAGAGAAAGAAAGGCCCTGCTCCCAAGATGTTGGGGAATGAGGTGTGTAGCGTATGTGGAGACAAAGCATCTGGCTTTCATTACAATGTGCTGAGCTGTGAGGGCTGTAAAGGTTTCTTCAGACGCAGCGTCATCAAAGGAGCGCAATACACCTGCAAAAATTCGGGCCGCTGCGAGATGGACATGTACATGCGCCGCAAGTGTCAGCAGTGCCGTCTGCGCAAGTGCAGGGAGGCCGGCATGCTGGAGCAATGTGAGTGACACTACTTGAACATCAACACTAGGCTGTTTTTGAAAGAAGTTTCTTATGCTCACCAAGGCTGCTTTTATTTGATCGGAAATACAATGGACAGTAATATTGTAAAATATTACAAAATAAAATAACTGCTTTCTATTTAAAACATTTTAAAATGTAGTTTATTCCTGTGATGGCAAAGCTGAATTTTCAGCAGCCTTTACGCCAGTCTTCAGTGTCACATGATCTCTTCTTATATGCTGATTTGGTGCTCAGAAAACATTTCTAATTATCGTCAATGTTGAAAACAGTTGTGCTGCTAAATATTTTCGTAGAAACCATTATACTTTTTTTCAGGATTCTTTCATGAATGAAAAGTTCAAAACAACAGCATTTATTTGAAATAGCACATTTTGTGACTTTATGCATCCTTACTGAATCAACATATTAATTTTATGAAAAACTTTGGGACAGCAGTGTAATTTTTTTTTTCACCTATGTCTGGCGTTCTTCATTAAACATGAACGTCACAAGCAGTCCATACAGCTGCCATCCAATCTTTTATCTTATCTGTTCTGATATGTTCATATGACATTGTAATCATGTAGTGCTTGTTTAGCTTATCAAACTATTAGCAGCTTTATTGTCTCTTATAGGTGTGCTGTCAGAAGAGCAGATCCGACTAAAAAAGATGAAAAAACAGGAAGAAGAGACTGCACGTACCTCTGCAGTGGCAGCACCCAGCCCTGTTCCTGAGATGCCCCCTCTGGCTCCTGAACAGCAGGAGATGATCGAAAAACTGGTGGCCATGCAGAAACAGTGCAACAAACGCTCTTTTCTCGACCGGCCCAAAGTCACTGTAAGTGCATTTAAGTGAGCCGCCTTACAAATTTGATTTAAAGCAGACAAAAACAGTAATTTGTTGATTTGTCTGACTGAAATCATACTAGTCTGGTTTTTGTGAAGTCGGACTAAAAGGCCTATTACTATTGTAGCTCTGCTTTGTAAAGCATTTAATACGTTTATTCAACTACAGTTGCCCTTTGTGTTGTGCGTTTGCTCAGAAAGACCTGTATTTAATCCTTCAATTACCCAGTTATGCATTGTGCCATGAATCTTTCTGAATCTGTGATGCATTGATTCTAAAAGTTTACATCAGGATCTGTTGTTTTTCAGCCTTGGCCACTGAGTCAGGACCCACTTAACCGAGAGGTTCGACAGCAACGGTTTGCTCATTTCACTGAGCTGGCCATCATGTCTGTGCAGGAGATTGTAGACTTTGCTAAACAGCTGCCTGGCTTCCTGGAGCTCACCCGAGAGGACCAGATCGCCCTGCTGAAGACCTCAACTATAGAGGTTAGATTTGACTGACCCTTAACACACATTGGTTTCGGTCATTTTCTGTTGCTGTTTTTGTGTGCGCAGATGGAGCACTGTTGTTTGGCAGACTTGTTTCTGCTGTTATTTTGTAACACGAAGTACTTTAGAAAAAATGCCACCTGGTGACAAATGTTGTTTCTCATAAAAACTAAGCAGAGCCTGTACTGCTTGTTTAACATACCTGCTAAACTGTACTTTCTCCTGTAGATCATGCTGCTAGAGACTTCCAGACGTTATAACCCAGCGATAGAGAGCATCACCTTTCTTAAAGACTTCAGTTATAATAAGGAAGATTTTGCCAAAGCAGGTACTGGATGAAATTTTTATATGGGTTCTTGTTTTAAACATTCCTAATGCTTACAATAAAGAAGAATATGATTTGTCATAGCTAGGGCTTACAGGTATGTCTAATTTGCATCGTTATTCTTATTTTTAATAACAAAGATAAATAAAATCAGGAAAATAGCTATATTGTGAAATGTATTCTTATCGTTAATAAAAAATATATATATATATTGGTAATATAGTCCTCCACCTAGTTCAAGCCTTATGAATATTATGTGTGGTTTTATTTGAGACCTGTTTTTGTTGTTCATGCCCTAAAATGATCTCTGTCCTCTCTGGCTCGTCTGCAGGGCTGCAGTTGGAGTTCATCAACCCCATCTTTGAGTTTTCAAAAGGCATGAATGACCTCCACCTGGATGAGGCAGAGTACGCTTTGCTCATCGCTATCAACATTTTCTCAGCAGGTCAGTTTGACACAAGCACCAATATTATATTGGTTGTAGGGCTGTGCGATTTGGGGGAAAATATCAAATTGCGTTTTTTTTTGACAGATATTGCGATTGCGATTTGATTTGCGATTTTAAATTTGCAAAGTCAAGCTTTAGCTCAATATTGTCAATAATGTGGAGCACAGGATGGGTATCGTTACCCTGCTGAAAAAAACAATAGAAACCATCACAGAAATTCTTATAGTTTCCATTAAACCATTACAAAATTCCTTTTTGTTTTGGGCATTATTCCAATAGGAATTACTGTTGTTCTATTGGTTGCCATCTGCCAGATTACATCCCACCAATAGAATCCATCAAATAGACACCATTATAGTTTACATTAAAACTAATACAATTCCCATTATAACCCTGAAATCCATTCAATGTTTTATTGTGTTTTTGGAGGGGTTCTATTGTTTTTTTTTTTTCAGCAGGCAAGATTATAATGGTATAACTACTTTTACAGAATTA